CAACAGACATTACATGCAGGCGCCGCTTGAGAACGTACAAAGAGTGAGATGGATTACCGCAGTACTGTACCTGCAATTTCCCGCGCGTGTGTGTGTTCAGTTCATGTATATTTGTGACGCGCCTGATGTACATGAAGCCCGCAGCGTGTACATGATTGTACTGACATGGTTGGCACTGGGGCGTATTCCGTTTTCCGTGAGATGACAAGTTCCAGAGCAGCAGTGGGTGGCTGTGGTTCACAGCAGCCTGGAAGGAGACCTAGAAATTGTGCATTTTCCTACTGACTGTGTTGAGTGCCTTGTAAGGTCTGTGATAGTGAGTACTACCTGCCTTGTCACACACAGCAGTGCTTCTCGGCATTCGATTGCGACGAAACTTGTCGACCTGCATAAATGAAGCCGTGGACGTGTCCGTCGTGTGGAGTGCGGCAAGGTCGAACGTTCACGACGCGTGGGGGGGGGCGTACTCTTAGTCGTGCATGCCGTAGTCGTTAGACCATTGACCTCGCATCCCTACAAAGCCGGGACGGAGCACGCCGGGTTCTCATCGGACCAGGCTCTCACATCACCAAGCGCGAAGCGCCGTGAGGTATTCGGCGAGTCGCATGAAGGGTGCGCTGCATCCTGCTAAGGGTGTTCGGCATCTTGTGCTTACTTCCCTTGCGTACGGATGACAGCTGCGTATGACTTAATAAATTTTCCGGTGCTTTCACTTCCAGAGACAGTTGTAAGCACTGCGTAACTGCCTCGAGGATGCTTGACCATTTCAACACAACGTGTTGCGATCATCCCCCTTGTGCGGAGTGAGGGTTCTCGACCCCGCACATGATCTACTCGACCACCATTATGGTTACCGCCAAAAAGAAAACAAGAGATAAAAAACCCGGTAACCTGGTTGCCGAGCTCACGAAGTGAATCGGCTTGTTTACAACGTCGTTGAAAAGCGACGAAAACCCAATCCCGATGGCAAACACCGGGGGGGGCGTCGGGGTAAAATTAGAGGGAGGGTGCGTTTCGGTTCTTCGCACGGGGGAGATTTACGACTATTATATGACTTACAACAACGGACGCGTTCTCAACCCGAAACAAGCTTTTGCACCAAACTTGCAGGAAGAGCGGACTGGGCCAGGAGGGAAACCTCTTCCAATCCACACGACAACGTGTTGATGGATTCTCGAGAAACATCCGCCGAAGAAAAATAACTTGCTTTTAGAGAAGAGACCGGAGATCGCCAACTCTAAAACCAGGTGAAACACAGAGAGTGGGGTCACTTTTTTGGAGTGTCACTTTTTGGTGGGGTCAAAATCGATTCTAGGTGTGAGAATATCGGCGACAGACACTGAAGCCTATTTGACTTCAGAACTTGCGTCAAATCCAAGCTCTCTATTCCGCCACTCTCTTCAATCTCTTCAAATGGAACCAAACGAGGTTCCGCGGTCACACCTATATTCCAAAGTTACGAGGCAGAGGCCATCCCTCCACTCCGAACAAAAAATCGCCACTCACAATTATCGAGGAATGAACTTTTCGGGGTCGCTTTTTCGCTCAAATTGCGGCGTAGTGTTATCTCGAGCGCTGGACGAGGGCCTTGGCGTAGCCCTCCGTGTCCAATCCTACCCGTGCTACAGTGTACGGCGAATGTATATTCCAAACCTCGCCCGTGCTCTCCCCCACTGTTTAATTTTGCCTTTCAAGGGTAAATGAGGGTATCATCGCGAGTCAAGGCATGAGCGCTTTCTCCACGCCGCCCGTCTGCGCTAGCAACTACGCCGGCTCACAGACTAAGTGCAAGCAAGGGGGTTCGCATATTGCCGTTGAGGAACATCATGACAACATGGTGTTGGCGGGTGTCATTCCTGAGAACGCGACCGGCGCGATGATGGCTGCCCCTTGCAGCAACGGAGACAGACCAATGGCATCTACTAGCTCGTGGGAACTACTCCAAGACCCTGCACCACGAACTGACCCACCTGCCGGACCGAGCTTCTCTAGTTCACAAGTCAACTGTGAGCCGGCTAGGGCAGGCAGAAGTGATTCTGACGTGTCTAATAGTGCGGTCGAGGGGTGCGGTGGTGGTGCGGTTTCTGGCTGGGTAGCCCATGTTCCCGATATGTCCTTGAGATCGCCGGAGTTGAGAGAGGTGGATGGGGGGGCGGAGGAGACCTGGAATGATAAAATTCCTGCGGCAGACTGGCTAGATGTTACTCATGCTATGTTGGGAGCAATCGACGATGATGGCCCGGCACTGTAACGTTTGCCGCCTTGGTTGCTTGTGCAGGTTGTTGCTGTTGAATGTGTGGGCGAAGAGGCATTGTGGACGTTAACAATTGGTCCCGGTTTGTAAATAAAACCGCGTACACATCGTTTTTTTGTTTTGCATCTGATTCCCAGTTAGTCCTCCCCTGGCGGCGGATTTATCCGAAACAGTCCTGCAATGCAGCTCTTCGCGAGACAAAGCCAGTCGGAATTGGGACCAAAGAGTGTGTACAGGGTGTCGGAGGCACGTGTATGCGTTGGTCTGTGTTTCATTGTTGTCTTTGAAGAATCGAAGGAAGGAGCTACTGCCGGGAATATTTCAGCGAAATGTGTCGTTTCGGCCATCTAGTGCAGCCCATCAACCGTGCCACGTTTCAGTGGCTCTTGTTCCTCCTCTTCGCATATTCACTCGGTACGAAAGGTGTCTGTGTCTGCTGTAGTAAGTAGCGGCATCTGTTCAATCAGGCGAATTACTCAGGGTCAAAAAGGCGTGGATGCGCAGAACAATGATCTGATGTCATCGCAGGCCAGAACAAACGGTCAACAGTTCCTGGTCCAGGTCCGCATAAAGGACCCTCCTTGTCATTACGAAGGGGTCGCAGATTTCCTCCTTTGGTACCATGTTGCATTGGCACTCCTTCTTTAGCTCTACCCAACGTTCGCCGGATGGGTGTGTAAGAAGGGCTGCAGCGACCAGACGTGTAGCAACGTCTGCCGTATTTGTAGTGTGTAAGAAGCACCACACAATCCGAAGTACAGCAACGTAGGACATTCATGCTTAACGTTGTGTGGCAAGCATCACAACGACCAGACGAATAGCAGTCAATGTCGGATAGGCGAAGATTGGCGCAAAACACCTATAATAACATAAGAACACCTGACTAACCTTAACCCTCATGCGGCATGCTCCGAAAAGCCACGCGTGCATCGTAGCATGAATAGTGAGCCACCTACAGCGCACATACGCGGCAAGTACCGCAACAACAATGAAGTGTGAAGAACATAAGCTCTGATGTGATTTGTGGAGAACGCGGCAACCACTGCCGTAAGTAGCGACCAGGTGCGTACAGTAGCAACATCTACCTTGATGAACACTCTAGATTAACACGCGGCAAGCACCGCCAACACAAAGTACAGTGACACCAGACAAAGTGTGAAATGTTCTCTCATATTGCAGCCTCACATCGAGAAACATGCGTGTCTCACATCGCACCCTCAACATGCGTGTAGGTTTGTCCGGTGTAGATGTATGTGCAAAGGAACGTGTCATGCCGTACAGACCACCGAGCGCACCATGATGGGCCCCACGCCTCAGAGACAGCTACGATGCCGAACGCGTTGTGAAACGTAAACGTTACAAGTGATTCCCATTCCGCCACTTGAAGACGCAGCGTCCCATGCCATGCAACCAAAGCCCGGAGCAGCAAAAGCGCCTCTTGGATCGTAACGTCACTGGCGGAACCAATGGTGATACAGTTGATACCGTAGGACGGAATCTGCCTGTTCAGCCATTTTTAGGTGCTTCTCCAAAAAGGGTCGGCGTAGCCCTGCGTATGCGTAGATGTGCAATACACGCTGAACGCCATGATACATACAGTGCGGCGACCCGATTGGTGGTGTGTCGTGTGAGTAGCGTTCCCAGGGTTTTTGTATTCAGGAAATATGTTGGATAAAACATACACGTGGGGAAGTTGGGCTAGGGTCAGGGTTAGGGAACAGGGTCTGCGTACCCCCTCCCTGCTCTATTTCCTTATAATACTGAATTTCCCGCGAAGGCGGTCAGTCGTGTGCGTGGCGTACGTACGTAGATCCAGCATTCCACTCACCGCATCCCGACGGCATGCATCGCACGCATCAAACATGATGAAGCAAACAAACAGGACCGCGCAGACCACAAAGAAATGTTTCTTCTGTCCGTTACTTGGAAGGGGGAGACTAGTTTTATCTCTTGTATCAGACACGCAAGGGAGCGAGGAGAAGTGGGCCCTGCCATGTGGAATTTCGAGAAAGGGGGGTCCACACATAGTAACCTTTCAGGTGTACATTCGCTCCTGTCCGCGAGCCCTCCGGTAGATCCAACCAGTTCAGTCCGTATCCAAACGCACATGCACCCTCCCCGGTTCTTCACGCGAGTGAATAACCATCAGTGGGGCACGGACACCCCAGATCTACCCTAGGGACTCAAGGAACCACGGGTGCGTGGGAAAACCCGGCCATCCGGATGAAAACCCCTCGCCTTTCAACCGAAACCCTCAATATATAGAAACCGTCACTATGACGGAGGATTCCCAACGGCCGCACTTTCAAGGCAAGACCAAGGCAGGACAAATGGGACCGGTCACGCGGGGTGCGGACCCTAAGCAACAACTCTACGCTTCACCCTCGGGTAACGCGCCGGCCCAACGCCTCCTGCTTGACATACCATGATCATACACGCCCAGTGCTAAACAAACCACCACAAACAACCCAAACAAGGCACTAGACTGCATCGGTAGGTTCATCAGAGCCTTTCGGTGGTACTCCAACTTGGCCCTACCAAGGACCTCTAGCATGTCGGCGTGCTGCTCTCCCGTCTGGACACACTCTGCGGTGATCTTGCCCGACATGAAGAGCTTGCGAATGCAGTGGAACCGCACGTCGATGTGCTTGCTCCTCGGCGAGCTGAAAGGGTTCTGCACCAAGGCAAGAGCCCCGCGTTGTCCTCCCGGACCCTGATCTTCGCTCCACTCGTCTCGGGTGCAATGAACGACAGAACCCCACGCACAAGCAACGCCTCCTTCACGCCCTCCCGGACTGTAATATGCTCTGCCTCCGAGGTTGACTGAGCTGTCACGGGCTGCGTCTTGGTAGCTGCGCATACAACAGTACCTCCTACAGTCACGGCTAGCCCCGTCGTCGAACGCATGTCAATCTCATTGTCGGCGTAGCTGGAATCGACCAACACGTCTAGGACTAGCCCTGATCCTCGTACGTAGGTGATGCCGATGTCCTTCGTGGCGTTGAGGTAGGTCACGATCCGCAACAGCGCGTTCCACATCCTCTCGGTGTGTGAGTGCGACCCTCCGCAGCTTGTTCAGAGGAAAGACGATGTCTGGTCTCGTAAACATCATCCACATCAGGCACTCGATTGCCTCCCTCATCGGCTTATCCACCGCGGGCTCGTCGTCTCTCTTCGGCCCTAGGTCAGCACTGGCGACAGCGGGCGTGGGAGCGGTTCTAGTGACGTTAAACCGCTTCAGCAGACTTTCGATGTATGCAGTCTGAGACAGCTTGGCGATTCCACTCTCAAGATCCATCTTAATCGCACACTCGTCGTACCACGTGCACTCTCCCAAATCTTTCACCGGAAACCTCTTCTGGAGGGAGGCGAGCAACTCCTCGCGTTCTTTCTCGGACGCTGCCAACATGATGTCGTCTACGTAGATGACGATGAAGACCTACGATCTCTCCGTCAACTATCATACGGAAAACGTTCGGGTCAACCCTGCACTGTTCTTACCCGTTCTCGATGAGGGTATCGGCAGCCTCAAACCCCCACTCACGGCCACTCTTCTTCAGACCATACAGGGCACGCTCAACCTTAAACACCTTGCCTGACAAGCTACCACAACCATCTGGGAACCTCATGTATATTTCTTCCTTGAGCTTAACGTGGATGTACGCTTGCTTGATATCCCAGTGGACTGCTTTCATGCCCTTCTCAGGAGATACGGCTGGCATCGTCTTAACGGATGCAGCAGACGGGTATTCGGAGTGAGTTGTGCAAGTCTACACCGGGGATTTGGGAAAAACCACGCGCCACCATACGGGCTTTGAAATCAACGATCAGTCCCTTCTCATTCGTCATGTACGAGACAACACACTTCGCACTAACGGCCTTCCACCCCTCGGGTAGCCTGTCAATCCTTGCGAATGTCCCCGCCTTGTCATGACCACCAATCTCTTTTGACATCGCTGCTCCCAGAACACCTTGTACTTGGAATTCAACACATCCTTGTACGTCATCGGCACAGCCTCTACATCGTGAGGTTTCTGCCCGATGGGCGAGGGAATACTTAACTGTGGGTCAGGGAGTCGTTGCGTAGATCCGTCGTCCTCGAACGCCTGCTGTTCCGGGTCGTTGGACTGGGGCACCTTCTGCATCTCGCGCCTGTACAGCTTATCCATGCTTGCACGGCGCTCCTCCTCCTCCTCACAGTACTCCTTCACCAGCGATTCGCGAACGTAGTCCGCGACGATCTCCGCCCCGTGCTCCGTCTCCAGGGCGGTCGCCAGCAGCGCCTCCTCGGGGTGCGGCACCTCCTCGGAACGCTGCAGCTCCCGGGTTTGCTTCCGCGTGCGGCCGCGCTCGAGCCCGTGGCGCAGCGGTCCTGCACTTGAAGCACCTCAGAGAAGTCTCTTTCCTTCAAGTCCCGGCGGGTAGCGGCTGTCGGCGGGATCGAACTTGTACTCCTCGAGGTTCTCGGAGTCTTCGCCGGGCGCATTGCCGCCACCGCCGTCTTCATCAGGGCCACCAGGTGTCGCTGCCGCCGGCGTCACGGGGGCCGCTGTTGCCGTCACCACCGTCGTCGTCGGGGCCGTTGCTGCTGCTGCTAGCGCTGCTGCTGGCGTCGCCGGGGTCGCTGCTGCTGCTGCTGCTGCTGCTGCTGCTGCTGCTGCTGTCGGTGGGGCTGTCGAAGCCACCACCACCACCGAAGTCGCCTCCTCCCGAATGGGGCGACGGGGGGACGCTACCTCCACTATCGTCCCCTTGGATCCCGTTGCCGGGTACCGCCGGCGCCTCCACGAGCGGTGTCGCTTGCCGTGGCCCACGGCCTCCGTCACGTCCAGGTCGGACTCACTCCTCGAGTCGTTCTCCCCTCCTCCACCTTTATGTGACGCACTCTGCCTGCTCTCGCCCTATCGTACTTTCCCCGCCTTCATCCACTATCCTGTTCGTCGCCGGTGTGCTTGCCGCTGGCAACGCCCCGCCCTCCTCGTCATCTGCGAGCGGCA